TCTCTCATGGTGATTTTCATGGCAGGCATAATCCCTCTATCTCTTCAGGTTTGCTTGTCTGTCAGATACCCTTGGACCATCTCCCTTTGCTTATTAAGCCTCAGCCCCTCTGGTTTTATTTTTTGCATTCATCAAGCTCTTTTCTTTCTTGGGTTCTTACATATGCTATTCTCTCTTTCTGGAAATCTTCCCAACCCCACAGTTTGTACATCCAACTCCTAGTTCCTTACATAACAAGTACATAGCATCACTTCTTCAGAGAGGTATTTGCTGAGCACCCTGTTTCTTCTCCTTTCTACCTTGTTTTTTTTTTTTTGAAAAACTTTAAAAATTACATTTACTTAATGTGTGTGTAGATATACACACCATGGTATGCCTGTGGAGATCAGAAGACAAGGAATTGGTTCTCTCCTTCCACTTTGTGGGTCTCAGGGATTAAACTCAGGTCATCAGACTTGGCAGCAGGTACATTTACCCACTGAGCCATCTTGCTAGTTCCTTGAAAACCTTTTGAAACATACATATACCATCTTTTAGGTGTTAAATACATTGAATCCAGAACAATTTCATAGATTAGATTATTATTCTCCCTTTTTGGATACACCAATTGAGAAACACACAACCAGTAAGTGGCAAAGAGGGATTTACCTGAAGTTGATACTTTACCACTATACTAAATCTTGCCTGGCAATGTCACAATTTAGAATTATTCTAGTATTTTTATTTGTTGGTGTTTGTCGTTTTTCTGTCCCTCTTGGATAAGCATCATGAATCAGGGACTATTGTCAAATGACATGTTGTTGGTCATTGATGTCACAAAGCTCAGTCATGATAATTAGTGTGTAACAAGTACTTACCAGACATCTTTTTAATGAGTGAATAAATGAGTGACAGTAAGAGAAAGAGGTTGGTTTCTGGAAACAGGGCACAAATACTATTTTTCCTACATATTTGTAAGTAAGAAAGTTTCACAAACTAATCGGAAGCTTCTAGGATGAAGAATATAAGAAATTTCTCTCTCTCTCTCTCTCTCTCTCTCTCTCTCTCTCTCTCTCTCTCTCTCCGTCTTTTTGGGGCAAGGTCTCCCTGTAGGTCTGCTGGCCTGAAACTCACTATGTAGACCAGGCTGGCCTTGAACTCACAGAAGCCTGCCTCTGCCTCCCGAGTGCTGGGATTAAAGGCACAAACCATCGCACTTGGCAAGAAATTACTTTCTATATACCAATTGTTGATTGATCTTATCATTACATATATAGATATGAAAAAAAAGGATAGGGCTGGAGAGACGGCTTAGTGGTTAAGATGACTGCTCTTGTAGAGGAGCAGGATTAGATTTCTAGCGTTCACATAGTAGCAAACAACCATAACTCCAGTTCTAGGGGAATTTGGCACCCTCTTCTGACCTCCATGGGCATTACACAACACAGGTTCACTTACATACATGTAGGCAATACACTCATACACATTAAAATAAAAATAACATTAAAAAAAGGAATTGTAATGTAGCAGTACTGGAGAAGTAGGGTATATAAGACCTACAAGTTAGGGCTGGAGAGATGGCTCAGCGGTTAAGAACACTGGTTGTTCTTGCAGAAGACCTGGGTTCGAATCCCAGCACCCACATGGAAGATAACAACTGTCCATAACTCCAGTTCCAGGGGATCCAACAGCCTCTTCTGTCCTCCTTGGGCATTGCACGACATGGGTGCACTTACCTACATGCAGGCAATACCCGCGTACACATAAAATAAAAATGAAATATTTAAAAGACCTACAAGTTAAACACCAACATATAAAGGACCAAAGTTGAACTAAGCAAAACTTTAAAGCATTAGAATAGTGTTCATGCCTGAATGAGGTCAGTAACAAGAGTGGGGACACTAACAATAAAAAAATGGGGCAGGATAGGGCAAAGGGAATGGGCACCATTAACTCCACACTAATCTTAGCTAGAAATGTATAAGCCTTCCTTCCCTAAGCACTCCCTAGTCCGGTTAGAAGAGACTGCTGTATCTGATAGGATGCTTGCCAGAAATGTTGTCTATAACAAAAGCCAGACAAAAGTTCCTTTAATGAACATAGAAACTTTGATCATTTATGTCTTCTTTACATCCATGGGATTGCAATTTTTGATGACTTGTGTGAATGAGGTAAGAGGAACATATTCCATACTCTAGAAGAAGCTACTTTAAAAAACACTGGACAAGGGAGGCCCCTTACAGGTCTGGGAACTATAAATATTTCCTTAAGAAACATACAAAACCCTGTTATGACTGTTTTTCTTGTTCCCTGTCTAGAACTTGTAATGCTAACTACTCTTGCCTTTACTTCTCTTTCACATCTCCTAGGCACCAGTTCAGTATTTCCTTTTCTCCCTACATTTAAGAGTTATGCAATTTGTGAGTCTTTTAGATAGACCCACTGAAGGGGTACCCCAATTGCCTCACCCTGTGTCCCTGTTCATCATGGAAGAAACCAGAGCGGTCTGTGTCCCGATTCCCTATCAGCAATTTGGGTAACCCCTTCAGAGGATAGTGTGATAAGAATAGGAGGTAGGAAATGGCTAGGCAGTTAGGGTAAAAAGACCCCAAAGAAAAGTAGCCAGTCTCTTGGCTAAAAGTAAAAATGTCCTTGGGCCTCTTAGCAATGTACTCTGTTCCAAAGGCCAAAAATGTCAAAAGTATTTGGGAGCTCTTATCTAATCCCTAAAAGATTTTAGTGTTACCTCTTCAGAAGGGGGAATGTTAGAGTAGCCAAAAGCTCCATAAGTTTAACTGGTCAAGTTTATTTGTTGAAAGACCCACCTTTCCAATCTCACTGTTCAATCACTTGATGATACAACCACCCCTAGGAAGGCAGGTTCAACTTAGGTTATGCTAAATAGATGGGTGAGTGGAATACCTGGTGTGTTAATGAGACAGCAAATTTTTCCTGCCTGGAATCCTGCCTTATAACCCAGAACTCCACAGAACTTCTGACCAGCCACAGTCATGTAGGTCTCTGTAAGTCTGTCTGCTTTCTGCCATTTGGGCCCATTCTTCAATTCATTTATGAATGAGACTAAGAACCCTCTAGGGGGCCCTCTCCCCCTGTTTCAGTACAGGCCAAAACTATGGACATATGGTGTCTTACTTTAATTAAGAGACAAAATGACTTACAGTAACAGTATGTGAAGATGCTTTGCAGACAATGACAGACTGGCACCATCCTTTGAAATACTCTGGACAAAGAAGTCATTTTGTGCCCTTTGTATGTTCAGAATGTAGCATTAATAGAAATATACAAAAGATTCTCTGCTAGGGCAAAAGGCAAAATGGTCATTGAAAGGTGAAAGCCCACTATCAATCCAACATGCTAGCCACCTCTGTATTAATGGACTGCATCAGTTTGCAGTGATGTAAACATGTGTGCATACAGTGAATGACAATAAAGGCAACACAATGATTTAGTATGGGGCTCTGGAGTTATGAGCCACATTTTGTCTTTACTATTTAAGAGTTGCTTGACTTTGGTAGATCACCCAATCCATCCTCCCTCCCTCCCTTCCTTCCTTTCTTTTCTTTTTCCTTTTCTTTCCTTTTTTTAGACTGGCTTGGAACTTGTCATGTAGATCAGGCTGGGCTTCTTTAATCCTAGGATTAACTAGGATTAAAGGCATGTGCCACCACACCCAGCCTGTCACCCAACATTTCTTGCAAGCCCCTATAAATTGGAGACAGACAGTGGTTGCTATATCAGTTTTTAGGATGGGAGAAAATTCATGTAACATTCGGAAGAGTACATGGCCCATCCTCTCAAGAACTCTGCTCTTACACACAAGGTGTATTGTTTTGCTTAGTAATTACATGCCCTTTACCTTTACTAAAGAATCCATGTAGTGAGGCTTTGAGAGAACTATCAGGAGGAAGTACAGTGCCTAGTACTTCTTCAGTACGCGCAGGTTACAGTGTATTTTTCTGTGGAGACAATGTTCCTGTGATAAACTAAGCACAGAGAAACTTGGGCCAGGGAGGGCACTCTTTAGTGACGTTTTGTCTTTAGGGAACTTTGGTAGACTACTAGGTGGGGTAGACAAGAGTAGAGAGAGTTAAGGGTGTCTGAAGTACATCTAGCAGACTTTGGAAAAGCAGTATTCCTTCCAGGGTGTAGAAGGCTCAGAAAGGCTGCTGGAACTCAGCGGGTGAGAAAGGCTGGACCACAGGGGACTGGGCTGTTTGCTTCTGAGGGCCCACTGTTTTCTAGTGGGCTTCGAGGTCCATAATACCAATCCTAGGGAAGAACTTTCACCCCAGGAAAGTCAGCTTGGCACAGTGCTCTGATCCCTCAGCTTTCCCCCTTTCTAAGGCGCCACAACTCTTCAGAGGTATCTCCTCAGTTGGTTGTTTCCCCTCTTTAGCCTCCCTGCCTCTTCAGTCTTCTTTTCTCAGGCGGTCCCCCCTCCTCAGCCTCTATTCCTCCTCACCTGGCTCCCCTTTCTCAGCATCCATCCCTTGTCAGCTGGTTCCCGTTCCTCACTCCCCGCTTCTTAGCATCCACTCCTTCCCAGTTGGCTCCCCCCTCCACAGCCTCCATCCTTTCTCAGCACCATCCATCCTTAGACTCCACCCCTCCTCTGCCCCACCGGTCCTCCTCAGCCTCCATCGCTTTTCAGCTGGTTCCTCCCTCAGCCTCCATTCTTCCTCAGCAGTTCCTTCCTTAGCTTTTATTCCTCCTCAGCTGGTTCCCGTTCCCCACTCTCCGCTTCTCAGCTTCCACCCCTCCTCAGCGGGTTCCCTTTCCTCAGTCTCCATTGCTCCTCAGCTGGTACTCATCCTCTGACTCACCATCCCTCCTCAGCTGCCATCCCGCCTTAGCAGGTCCGGGTCCCCCTCTAGCCGGGCGAAGGCGCTTGCGGGACTTCGCGTTCGCTCCTCCCTCTCCCGGCCCCCCGCCTTTTGCGCCAACCGGGAAGGGAGGGGGTGCCGACTGAGTCCGCCTCTCTCCGCACCGGTTGCCGCAGGGCCGTGCAAGCAGGTGGAGCTCAGCCTCCCGGCAGCGCCGGGCGGGAGACCGCAGTGACGCGGTCGGAGACATGGCGGCCGCGCGCCTCTGAGGCCGCAGAGCCGGAGCCCCGCTGCGCCGGGCTGTGCTGCTCGGCTGCTGATCGCCCGGCGCTCAGACCCCCTGCAGTCTCCATGCAGCATCCGGAGTCAGCGCCTCCCGCCGTGTAGCTCCACTGGCTGCCGGGCCGCGGGGCATCCCTCCGCCTGTTCACAGACGCTTTTCCTTTCCATTGCCCTCTCCATCCCCATCTGCTTTCCAGGCGGCTGGGCTTCTCCCGGCCACCCCGCTATGGCCGCTGAGGAGGTGCTGCAGTCGGTGGACCACTACAAGACCGAGATCGAGAGGCTGACCAAGGAGCTCACAGAGACGACCCACGAGAAGATCCAGGCTGCCGAGTACGGGCTGGTGGTGCTGGAGGAGAAGCTGACCCTCAAGCAGCAGTACGACGAGCTGGAGGCCGAGTACGACGGCCTCAAACAGGAGCTGGAGCAGCTGAAAGAGGTGAGCGCCGGCGTCCCTGCCCGTCCCCACCGCCCAGCGCCTCATCCTTCCAGAGAAGTCGGAAGGGAGATGGTCGAAAGGACTTCATCTTAGAGCCCTTTGTTGATAAGAGAATATTGAAAGAGTCCATTGTTTCCCCCGACAGAAAAATTGCCCACGAAATGACCGTATAAGTTGGAATTGGGAGGCTCTTTATCCTGTGGGGGAGGGAGATTCACGAGTCCTCAAGTATCAGCGCTGCCTGGTGACATTGCACTGGGGTGGAATGCATGAATCAAACTTCTCGAACTGCTGTTATTTCCAAGCCAGGTGTTAATGACCATCCCATAATCCATCCGGGGTGGTGCCCGAGGAACCAACATTTCAGGATGGTAGAATCTGGTACCTCAGCTGTCTGTGAGTGTAACTGCTCCTTGGTGAAACAGGAAACAGTTATTAGAACTCACCAATTTTGTTTGATGAAGACTGGGCAGTGTTTGTTCTACTTGGTTTTAGCCATTCTTTTCATGGATCTGTAGGAGCAAAACAACTTTGCTGGTTGATTTTGCTGCTATGATTTAACTTATGAGCCAGGCTGGGCTATAAAGTCTTATGAAGTCACCCTGATGGAGGAAAATTGAACTCACCTCCAAATGGTCTGAAAAAAGGGTATATGTCATATATGTGGATAGTCCTGTTTTTCAAACTAGGCTCTTCAAGTTGAAATGACTGTGTGGATAAAACCAGAATATCACATATTTTGTGAATAACATTTTTTATCTTTAATGTGCTGAAAGAAAACAATGGATGTGCATTGATTTCCTACCACACACTCACAAGAATATACATATTATGTATGACACTCAGTCTGTTTTACTTGATTTTTGAGGCACTGTCAGTTGCAAGTAATTAAGTATAAATTTTATTGTATACTTACACTACTTTTCTTTGTGGCAAGTCTTTATTTTTAGGTGCATAATAACATTTTAAATGCTAGGCATATCATACATAAATATAAATATTTGTCTTAAAATACAAGTTTATTTTAGGTGTGGAAGGTCTAGTTTTGTGTTGCTGCAATTGAAATACATGAGTTACAGCATTCTATTCAACCTGTCTCCTAATTCATACATAATACAGATTTATACTTTCAGATATGCCATTTTTATTCGGATGCTTCAATACAAAAAAATAGATGTAAATATATATGGTTGAAAACCCTACCTAGAAGTATAATTTTTGTGTAGCAGGCTATAAATTCTAATTCATGCTTTTCTTGCCGTATTCATGCTTGGTTTTAGCAACAGCTGGACTTGTTTATATTTCCAAGGTCTTAGGCTGACATGTCTAAATGTAGTGCTGCTAAACCTTGGGAAGTAAGGGAACAGGATGATGATTGTAATTTTCAGAGACCTTTCCATGTTGTCTTCACCTATGAACAGTCCTTTGGCAAGGTGAAGCAATGCGATCCAGTGTTAGGCCATCCCTTTCTTGATAAAGGAGGTGGGTTTATTTGATGATATGAAATGTAACAGTTAACAGACCTTCCTTTTTGATTTAGACAACCCTTTAGGGATGTTTCTGTGTCGTTGCACTTACCCAACACAGTAAACCTTAATGCAGTTATCTTCTGTCTTTAACTGACAAAACTCTTAAGACAAGGAATCTCTTATTTATTTATTTATTTATTTGTTTATTATTTGTTTATTATTTAATTATTTATTTAAAGTTGATAAAATGTGTATCTATCATGTATAATATTGTGTTTTCAAGTATATATACATGTGAATTAATCTAGTTAATTAACAAATATATTACTTCACGTAAATATCATTTTTGTGATAATACAATATCCATTCTGTTTTTTGTGGGGGGGCCAGACAGGGTCTCTCTGTACCCCTAGCTGACCTGGAACTTGCTATGTAGACCAGGCTGGACTTCATCTCACAGAGATCCACTTACCTCTTGAGATTAGAAGTGTAGGGCACCACACCTGGCTCCATTCTGTTTTTTTTTTTTTGGTCTTTTTGAGACAGGGTCTCCCTGTAGCTTCAGCTGATCTGGAACTCACTATGTACACCAGGCTGGCCTTGAACTCACAGAGATCCACCTGCCTCTGCCTCCTGAGTGCTGGGATTAAAGGTGTGTGCCACCACCCCCTGGCCCATTCTGTATTTTTAAGAGAATATATTGTCATTATAGTCACCATTTTGCACATTGAACTATTAAACTTATTCCTCCTGTTTAACTGTAATACTACATCTTTTGACCAACATCTTCCTTCCAAGTAATCAACACCTTTGATAACTATCATTTACTTCTCTGATTCCTTGTATGAATGAGATCATGAATGTCTTTTCATGCCTGGCGTATTTTACTTAATGTATTAACCTGAAGGAAGCTGTCTTAATGAACATGCAGTCAAAATTTTCAACACAGAACTTAGCACATAGTAGGTATGTAGTAAATATTTTATAAAAATCAATTTGTAGTGGAAGAAGTTAAACCTTTATTAAGTGTTCAGTCGTCAATATTGCTTAGTGTCAGAAAGACTAAGAAAATTAGGAAATGTAGGAAGTGACCATCTATGTTAGTATTGACAGTAATGAGAAAAAGAAAAAAAAAACTGTCTTGTAGGAGTAACAGAAGTTTCTTAATCCAGAGTAATGCAAATTTCAATTGTGTCTTTTAAATAAAAATTTAAAGCCATTTTGTTCTATGTTGCAGGAAGTTAACAAAAATTATCAGGATTTAAACAAAATTCAAATGATGCTTGTTCTTATATCTATCTTGAGTTACATTTAGCAAAAATAAAACTGAAGATTCTTAATAAATTGAATTATAGTTATAGAAAAGTGTATTTTAGGGTAGTAAAATAATTATATTTGCTAGATTTGTTATTTTTGTTTCAAGCATGTTATGTTTTAGTTGAGAGTATTACTTAAATGGACTGAATGAGTCTCAGGTAAATATAAAATAATTGTGCAAACTGAGATATTCCAACGATGGTAATATATAAGCCTTTTTTTTGTGTGTGCGTGTGTGTTTGTGTGTGCGTGCGTGCGTGTGTGCGTGTGTGTGTGTGTGTGTGTGTGTGTGTGTAGATCAGAGAGTCCCAGTGTTGTTCCTCAGGCACCATGCTTTGTGTTTTTTGAGACCTCATCTCTCACTATCCTGGAACTTCCCAAGTATATCAGGTTGTCTGTGTGCAAGCCTCAGGGATCCACTGTTTCTGCTTCCCTAGTGCTGGGATTACAAATGTGCACTACCATGCAGGGATTTTTTACATGGGTTCTAAAGATTGAACTTAGTTCCTCATGCTTAGATGGAAGATATTTTACTGACTGAGCTCTCTCTCTCCATCCCTAGAAGTCATTTTTTCTAAAACATTGGGGGATTGCAAAATGGCTCAATGGGTAAGGGCACATGCTGCCAAGCCTGATGACCTGAGTTTGATCCCCTAGCTCCCACATGGTGGAAGGAGACAGCCAACTTCTGAAAATTGTCTTCTGACCTTCACATGAGTGCTCCCTTCTCAATAATAAAAACTGTAATAAAAGAAAAAGAAAAACATTTTGTGAGTGCTCAGATTATTCAAAAGAAAATTTTGTTCGTTATCTGGAATACATAGTAAACTATTAATACAGGACCAGAGAGATGACTCAGCGGGTATAGGCACTTGCCACCAAGCCCCAAGGTAGAAGAAGAGAATCAACTTCAACTCCTGAAAGTTGTTTTTTGACCTCTACAAACATATCATGGTGCGCACAGATACACACACACACACACGCACACACACACAGAATAAACACATAAATAAATGTAATAAGACAATATTAATGTATTTAAACTATAAAGCCAAGTAGTAAAAATATCCTTGTAATATTGCTATGATCTTTCAGCAAATATGGTTCATTGAAAAATACTTGGAATGTTAACAGAAAATTACTGCAAGTCAAGTTGGGCATTGGCAATTTTCAGTTTAGCAGCAGGACTCAGTTTTGGCAGATTATTTTGCTTTCCATAATTCAGCACCCAACACGGTTACTACCTTCCTTTACAGGCTAAGTGTTAGTATGACAATAATTCAGGGGAGCAACACACAAACATGCGTACATACACATAAAAGAGAAAAAATATCTAAACTATATCAACATATTTTGGATTGTTTGAAAACAACCCCAACTAACAATTACTTTTGATCACATCCTGTTTTTTTTTTTGGACACAGTTGCTCAAATATGCACTGGCTCTTCCTTTTATTGTTCCTCAAGATTTCATCTCTGGAAGAGCTAATTTCTCAGATTTTATTTAAGGAAGATTTTATATTCTTTTATCACATCCATCATGTTTTCATTAACATGTATACAATCATAGTTTGAAGACTTTTTTTCACCCCAAATTTCTTGATTATAAGTACTTTGCCTTATCATCCTTAATTGACCACTGGCTCTTCCTTTTATTGTTCCTCAAGATTTCATCTCTGGAAGAGCTAATTTCTCAGATTTTATTTAAGGAAGATTTTATATTCTTTTATCACATCCATCATGTTTTCATTAACATGTATACAATCATAGTTTGAAGACTTTTTTTCACCCCAAATTTCTTGATTATAAGTACTTTGCCTTATCATCCTTAATTGACTTGTACTTGAAATTGTGGCTTTGAAGGAGAGAGGATGTAAAAAGATGAGTCCTATTATTAAACATTTTATTATGTGAAAAAGGAGGAGGTGTATGAAGTCAAGTGTAGGAGTGGCAATTGGGAAAAGACAGCAGCCACATCTTGTCTTGGGGATAGAGAGCCATTAAAAGGAAATGAAATTGGACGTGGTAGTGCATACCTTTAATCCTAACACTTGGGAGGCAGAAAGAGGCAGGTAGATTCCTGTGACTTTGAGGATAGCCTGGTCTGCATAGTGAGTTCCAGGCCAGCCAGGGCTATATAGTAAGACCCTGTCTCAAAAGAAAAAAAAACACAAAAGGAAATGAAATAGTATGTTTTATCTTTTTTGCCTTACA